TTGTTACAATGATTTTATAATATTAATTACAATTATTTCTGTGACTGCGCTTAGCAGATGCTTGTGTTACTTTCAATGCTTTATGTGTGCATTATCATAATTCGTACATTCTTTATAAATAAATGATATCTCGGTATAGTAAAAAGGATAGCGGCACCATTGACGTCATTGATTCGTAAGAATACTGAACTTGGATCATTTTAGAAATTCCTGCTTTGCAACTTAAAATTGTGACCGCATATGATACAATTCTTCATGTTCGAAAAACACTCCGAAAATTGCACAGCCAAGTCTTAGCGCATGTGCATTATAAACTACTTTCCACGGCTCGGTTGTCTTAGCAGCCGTGACACAGTTTCGCTGGCTTGCAATCTCGCTTGTTTTTACTAACGTCCTGCAGCCTAAAGTCTTCCGTTATCTCTGCCTGGTTCCTGATAAACGTTCTACCCTTTTCTTCAGGGTCTCTGTACTTGTTTCCTTGAACCCTTCTAAACGTTTTCCACAAAACCAATCGTTTCCTACAGAGTTTTTAATCGATCTCATTCAATAAATTTTATTTTGAAATTATCCTCTTTTATTTTAATTTACCTAATCACATGTGTATGTGTGCGTGTATGTGTTCAATATAAAACTGCAATGAAAGAAAAGTCTAATATTCCTTTAGCTTATTTGTTTTCAAGATACTTTTCTTTCCTAAGAAAATGTTCATTGCGACTTTAACGATCATTGATAAGAAATATACTGCAATTATGATACACGCTATTAAAAATCCGTAAACATCGATCAGATTTGTCTGCCACCACGGCATGTCCATGGTTGGAGAACGTAAGGCGTTTGGACCGTTGCGGATCACGTATTCTGTTCAAAAGATCGCTACTTCTCGCGCTGTCATTAGTCTATTCTTAAAATATAAAGCCTCGCGTTTCGCATTCTTTCTAAAGCCAAAGAATTTCAAGATGTCAATAATTAAGCAAATCTCAATTTTACATAAAGTAGACAGGCTTTTGGGACAGATTATATTGTAGTAATTGGCATTTTTGTTTACTTACGTGTAACTGTGAGTATTTCAATAATTATTTGGCTAATGTTTAATCATAGGTTAAATATTCCTGGAATTAGTTATTTTAATTGCAAAATATAATTTGCATCAAAATGATATTGATGCAAACAAGATGAAACAAACTAATGTTAAATCATTTTATTTAAATAAAGAAGCTCTTCAATTTTTTCCCGTAGAAAATTGTTAAATTTTACAAAATTAATGAGTAGGCATGGAATTGATTAAAAAAATAGGTAGTATTATAGTACTTGCAGGTATTATGGCTCCTCTTAACATCTTCATCATTAGAGGTTAGCGAATTCTGGTGATTATTTATAGAATCATTTATTTAGTAATCTACCGTTACGTAGTGGCGCTAATATATCAATATATAAGGCTAGCATTTGTTATAACTATATATTTTTATTTTTATATATTTTTATTTTTGAGCATTTCGAAACATTTTCAAGGTACATTTTAACATTTAATTATACATACTTCCTCATTCTACCTAACGTTGAGCATATTACCACACGAATATATGTACATTTGAATGCTTTGTTCGTTATTAACATTTCACACATGACTTCACAAACATCTCGAGTTAAGCAAAATTAGAAAATAGCATGAGTAAAGAAATTTTCAATAAAATTAAAACAAAACTTTGTGTGCGAGTTCGCTTGAAATGTTCAGCCTGAAGGAAACAAAATGCTATCTCTAACTTATTCAATATGCTAACTTATTCAATATGCACATAAATATTCGCTATAAATATTTTTACATTTATGAAAACTAAAGAGCACTCTGAGTTAGTTTTGTTTTAAGAATATCCGAGTGACATAAAATGTTCTATAAATATGCATGAAATTCTGAAAAGTGTCGACGAAGATATGCGGGTAGGCCTTGGAATTAAAAGATATACAGAAAATCGCACACGTGTACATAGTACAAATATTTACAATTAGATATGTATGCCATAGTGTGTGTATGTGTATGTACAGGATTATGTGTTTACTTTTTTTCAATTAGATCAATACATTGTACATAGACAGTAAACAAACTTTACAAATATTCTAAGAACGTTCTTTTCTATTATAAATATACAAATCTCTACAATATTCTACATATATTCATTATATAGAAAATCCGATTTGAATATGAGGGAATTAAGAATTAATTACATGTTTAAGCGAGTAATAATAACAGGCTTAATACAATAAATAATAGTCATAGATTTTAATTTTAATGTGCAGCGCGATTCGTAACACGCTACAAGCCTAAGTATGTTATTTTAGATGAAATTCTTACACATTTCTTGCTGTTTTAAATCATTTAACACAATAATTAATTCGATTAATGTCAAGCAATATTGGCCGCAGTTAGAAAAAGAATGGATGATTGACAGGATACAAGCCACAGAGAGACATCGTTATGAGATGAAAAGAAATGCAAAAAATAAAATGGTGCATACAGTATTACACTTTCTGTATATACACTTTCTGTATTGAAATAAAATTATTTTAAGTATATACACTTTCTGTATTGAAATAAAATTATTTTAAGTTATTTTAAATAATTTAACATTTGTTTTATTTTGTTCGTATTAATATAATTTTGCTACAAACAATATTTTATAGTTACTGTATGTACAATTACTCATTTCCGCAGTATTTAACCAATAATTAAGCACTGGCCAAATAATTACTGGAATACTATCAGTGCTTAATTACTATAATTATACGTATAGACGAATGTGAAGATAAATTATATGTATATATATATATATATATATATATATATATATATATATANCCGATATACAGCTTTAAGAACTTATTTCGTATTATTCAAAATAGACTCCGGTTTAGTTGCTTAGCTTCAAATTTCTCTATTATCTCTATCACATGATCGAATAAAAGACTTTTCGCGTCAATGCCTGTGAAGAAATCCAAATGGTTAAAGCGTTTATATGGAACTTCCTCAAACAAGATAACGTTGGATAATCGCTTGTGCAGCTCGAGGACATTCTAAAAATAAGACGATCACAAATAAAATAAATTATGTAGTGAGTGTGGCCAAAATAATAGATAAGTCTAATGTTTTCATCAAGACTATGAAAATAGTCGACAATAAGCGAAGAGTGAATCGTATATTCTATTAGCATGTCTGGCTGTTATTGTAGAAAAAATCAAACGTAAATAAATAAAAATTGAGTAGTATGAATAAATGATATATATAATATATAAGATAGAGAGAGAGAGAGAGAGAGAGAAAGAGAGAAAAATAAATATATAATACAATAAACTTTTGGATATAATTTTGAAAAAAAATGTTTTTACCGATCTTGAGGCAATAACGTCACCGGCGCCATAAATTAAAGCCAATGGTGCAGTAATTTTTTCAAGTTCATATCTTTCGGATACTATATCGTTATGAATGAAATATCCATAATCATAATGTCGAAAGTCGTCTGCAACAAATGATATTAATCAAGGAGAAGGAATAAAAATCAAAAAAACATCCGAAGAAGAGCATAAAAATTGGTATGCTAATATAATACTATATTATTATAATAGGATGAATTTTACTCACGTGTAAGAATATTTTGAATATAATGATATAACGTTAATACAGAAATGCCGGCTGGATAATGACCAAATATTCCTGGTAGTGCTGTCTGCAAAAATTATTTACGTGTTTTGCAAATAAGATATTTATACAAGATGATGTAGCTGTATAAACGCACACAAAAGTATCATATCAAGTTGGAATAATATAACTTACGGTATTCATTTGTATAGGATCGGATCCTGCGAATAAGAATAGTACTGCGATACAAAAAGGCTGAGTTTTTGTGTTATCTGCGCATAATATCTTGTTCGAAGCAATATTTGTCGATGATAAAGGAAATAATTCGTTCACTTCGTTATCATTAAAAAATTTCTGATAAACAAATATAAAACAAAAAGTTTAAAATTATGATAAGAAAAAACAATTATTAGTAAAATATATTAGTCCTAAGTTTTCATAAAATATGTTCATTTAACTTATTCACACACATACTGACATATGCACGCACACACGCCTGCACGTATGCACACACATATATACACACATACACGCAAAAAAAAAATATATATATATATATAATTCATGTGATGATAAAAATATAATAAAAATTAATTTTTAATCGTTACCATTATATTTTGGTAGTTATTAATAGCTTGTTGAAATAGAGGAGATAGTTCGTTAAAAAGGGCAACTGGAGCGAAGCATATTCCCAGTCTTATTTTTGCGTTGTAATCGGGTCTCGTAGATAGGAGGACGAATAACAAAGTAGTTCCCATCGAATGGCCAATATAGTGCAGAAATTTCTTCCCAGTGTAATCAAGTACGTAATCGATCATATTTGGTAAGTCTATTGTTCCTATCTCGTGATAACTAAATGACACAAATAAATTTTATATTGTTTCCTTTCCTCTTTTATTTTGAGTGCTCTAAACTATTCTTCTATTGGTTCTTTCAAGCTAAATAACAAGACAATAATAATCATCACTAAATATATAATATAATAATTTTTTTAAATTGTAATTCTGTGAGTATATATATACTAGTATATATGTAATCCAGAAAAATATCAAATATTTCTTCAAAATTATACTTCCACCAGATAATCTTCTACCTATATTGCCAGAAATCAGCATTTTGAGGAGACATTTTTACGTGTGATCTACAATATGTATTTCCTCTGACATTTCCGAGCCACACATCGTATCCTTGATCAGCCAAAAGAAATGCTGTAACACCGTATGTTCAATATATTGATTATACAATCAGTAGTCCAGGAAGGCTAAATTAGATACGAGGGGGACCCAAAAAAAACCGAATTTTTTTATATAAAAACTTTATTTATTAACTTTTTTACAAAATTCCTTCAGTCACCTTCAAAGTACTCTCCATTAGATGCGATGCACTTATCAAGTCTTTTTTCCCACTGTTTGAAGCATCTCTGGAACTCTTCAACTTTGATATCGTTCAGTGCCCTTTGCGAAGTTGTTTTTACCGCCACCACATCATTAAAACGCTTCCCTTTTCACCAAAGTCATTACAGGTGATGAGAGTTGGTGTTACGGGTATGACCCAGAAACTAAGCAAGCGTCAAGCCAGTGGAAGACTCCCAACTCTCCCAGACTAAAAAAAGCAAGACAAGTGAGGTCGAATGTGAAGACGATGATCATTGTCTTTTTTGATGTTCGTGGAATTGTGCATCGGGAATTTGTTCCCCCTGGCCAGACTGTTAACCAGCACTTTTATTTGGAAGTTTTAAGACGTCTGCGAGAGGATGTGCGGAGGAAACGCCCGGAAATTTGGCGATCAGGTTCCTTCATCACGACAACGCCCCCGCACACACGGCCTTACGAGTGACCCATTATTTGGCCTCTCGTTCCCCACCCTCCGTATTCACCAGACCTAGCCCCATGCGACTTTTTTCTGTTTTCGAGAATGAAGAGAAATCTAAAAGGGAAGCGTTTTGATGATGTGGAGGCGGTAAAAACAGCTTCGCAAAAGGCACTGGACGATATCAAAGTTGAAGAGTTTCAGAGATGCTTCAAACAGTGGGAAAAAGACTTGACAAGTGCATCGCATCTAATGGAGAGTACTTTGAAGGTGACTGAAGGAATTTTGTAAAAAAGTTAATAAATAAAGTTTTTATACAAAAAATCCGGTTTTTTGGGTCCCCCTCGTATGATTTTTTTAGATACAAAATTGATTAATATATCACTGATATTGACTACCATGTTCGGAACGTTGTAAACATATATCGTATTACATAGCTGTTTATTTCAAGATTATAATCTCTTTGTTCCTTTATTTTTCTTTTTGGAAAAGTTTGATCGGCAAAATCTATCTTAATAAACTATTTTTTCCTTCTTTTGCTTTAATTTCTTCTTTTCTTACCTTATTTCTTATATTTGGTCTCTTATCTCTTACAATATCTTAATTTATAATATCTTAACACTATACTGGCCTGCGTCACGTATGCATGATTTCGGTGGCAGCGCTTATCAGCCGGCGGACAAAAAACGCGGTTAACGCATAATTCCGCGTCAAAAACGCCGGTAAAATGTTAAGGACAAAATTATCGAGTTAATCTATATTTGTGGAATATCAGTTTTTGAAAATAATACTATTCCTATTATTTTAATGTTATCTGAATGCATTTTTTTAGATAAAACAATATTTAAGTATTTTTATTTGCAACTAATTGGGATGATTTCACAAGATCGAAAGATGAATTTTTTTAAGAACTAACATTTTCTTTTCAAATAATTTGCCAAGACAGCCATTCAAGAGATCCAATTAGCAGTCGTACACACAAATCGTAAAATTAACCCCGGATAAAATTAACATATGGTCAAGGTAAACGAGTCAAATGTCAACTTGATAACAGCAATCGATGGTCTCGAATAACAGATATCGTCTGATTGATAAACATTCAACGGACAAATAGGTTTGATATTCTAAAAATTTGTAAAATTAAGCGGAATTAATAAAAGCAGGAGCCAATCAAAAAAGCAATGTAACACATGCATGTATCACGCCAGTCATCAGTAATTAATTAAAAACTCAAATAATGAATAAATGTAATGTAATAATGCGATAAATAGAAGACAGATTTATTCTTAACGCATGTACTTTTTATATCGTCATTAGTTTTCTAATGTACGTGCATTTAATTTTTCGAATATAATCTCAGTAAACACCAAATATCAATAAGATAATATCGATGTTATTAATATTTGACACAATAATATATATGTTACATAACTTGTGTGTTACATAATTTGTTTACATTATTGTGTCGGACATTAAACATCAATGTTATGTTATTGATATTTATTAGAATATATTAAGTCTTACGCACAAATTAATAAGAGGCATTAAGGCCAAGACTTGTGACGTATTAGATTAATAGAGAAAAAAATTAAAGAGCAGTTAAAGTTGAAAAGAAAAAGTTTTATTTACAATTCAAAGACAACCTTCTAAGAATTCTCACCAACATTAAAATTAGCAAATCTCCGTCAGCCAGTTAGATACGTCAACAGATATTACTTTGTGGACTATGAAACAGCCAATTTTGTATTTAACTAGTATTTTTAGCAATGTCGTTGCATAAATATCTTTAATTTCAATTATTAGCTTACCAAGGTCTTTGCCAGGGCCAAATAGCACCCACAAGTCGGATGAGCCTAAAACGCCGTGCTGAAGGAATATTGGTTTCTTGTTGTCTTTGTTAATAGACAGTGGACTGTCGGGTATTCTATGTAACTTCAAGTTGTAACCGTCCTTGGTTGTAATAATATGTTCCTCGGCGGGATAACCATGTCTTGTTACCAAACCAATCTGAGTAAACGTACAGTTGTAATAGAATATTATCGGAACAGGAAATCGAGATGTCTCTTTTTTTTCACTACAAACTACGAATGTTATCTCTGCGTGTTTATCTCGCATCAATATTATCCAGACAAACGTACTGAAATTATCCTGGATATGCTCAGGACGTCCTAAGACACTCCTCGGGACATCCTGGACACATTCTAAATGATTTTGGGACCTCTTGGGCTATTTGGGTTACACGATAATGCAAAATGCGTTTGCGGTATCGACAAGATACTTCCGTCTGAACGATCGGTTTTTTTTAATCAAATGTCGAAATTGTTTTAGTGAAAAATTTGACGAGGGAAAAGTTCGTTGCTTCTTACTTACGAAATCCAATATTCTCACGCTTTTCCCTATTGCAACTTCGTCCAAGGTCCTTACTCTCACTATATTAGGTTCCTTAGGGAACCAAAGGTTGACTAATGCTTGCGAAAACAATTGGGTCTCAAATAACTCTACGTTATTCGACAACATTATAATAAGCATAATCGCAAATTTCATATTTATCCTCGTCATTTTGTCTAAATTATCTAAACTACACAATGGAACGCAAATGGAATTTCTCTTGTCAACAATATGATTCCGGTATATTTCTTATTGGATTAATTCTTTCTCGCATCCTGAGAAACCTGCATCACAAGATAATCATATCAGTTAGAGCTTATTTATTTAACGACCAATTATTTTTAAGAATTAATTAAAATGATGAAAATCCTACATTTTACATTGGTTACGATCTAACTAGGAATTTTTTCGGCGAATTAGAACTAGTCTAAGTACGTACATTGTAACAATTACAATGTGATTACCATAGAAATCTAAAAGAAATTATAAGCTTCATGTACACTAATGTGATTATAATTCAAGTGTTTCCCATAGCGTTAAATATAAGTTGAAGTTCTTCACTATAAGATATATTAAGACCGACTACATTCAAATCTTACATTGTAACTTTAAGTATGAATAGGTTTGCGCAGCATGATAATCTTATTTTAAAATCTGCTAAAAGATGTAATGTAGTTGTAAGCTTCCAATAAAACAAGCGGAAGAAGTCCTTTGATTACTGTTTAAAGAGAATTTCATTTAAAACTCAAATTTCACAAAAGTCACAAAATTCAAATTTATCAGCTTTATTTTAATGCTTAATATTTTTCTCCTGTTTGAAAAACAAAGTAATTAATATTTTAACACGAAAATATAGAAATAAAATTAAAAAGTCGAGAAAGAGAAAAAATGTGAATTTTGCTGTTACTTATTATTGAATTTTAATTTATTACTGGCTTTCATTTACAGTTTTAGTGCATTTTGCATTTATTTTTTGTATTGCTATACTTATAATACTTGCCAATAAATTCATTTAAATAAGCAGTTCAGATGCATAGTGGAAAACTGAAAGAAACAGCAGACAATAAGTTAATCTGTAACTTACAATAATTAATGTAATTGTCATGAATTACTTTTAAAAATTTCTACAAATTGAATGAAGTAATGCACGAGCCAAGATCGCGTATCTCGAGAAAAACACTGACCGTCGTGCACAGTGATAAAACTGAAACTGCGAATACGGGTCAGATCGCTCCAGGTATATATATAAACAGAAACTTGAACTAATAACCAGGTGTATTCGACTCAGGATCAATTAAAATTCCTTAAGATTTATGTACCAACCGCTCGCCATTCGATTTTTGTCGCGAGAAGGCCGGTTTACGCCTTCCTCGCTACCATTTGAAAGTAATGCCAAGGAGAATTCTTTCACCGGATGGCTTAATTATATATCTAACTGTTATATTAATACGACAAATTCCACTTTGATAAATTTGCATTTGTTGATTTATTATCCAAACATTTGCAAATAGATACGAGCAATGTCAATGCAAATTCAACATTCAAATAATCGATTATAAAGAATATTTATTTTTTACAATTCTTTTTCACAATTGATTATAATTTTATTTTTTATAATTGATTACAGTTTTCTTTAGAATTGAGGGAGAAATTGATTAACTCTGAGAAATAAAAGTCCTTGAAAAGATGTTGCAACCTTTCGGTCAATGCAATTTACGCAACTAATTTACGGTATAACTTATACTTACGCAAGCTGCGCAACCAAACATGACGAATCGCCGCGTTTATCGGTAAGAGTGTATGAAATAGCAATCTAAAATGTTGTCCAGATATTTGCCGGATTTTTCCAGCAAGGTATCCTTTCTTGTAAATTTATGACCTTTCTATCAAAGAATTACTATCAGGAACTTACCATTTCACATATTTTCTATAGTATAGTTATTAAAGAATTAATTAAAGAATATTCCCTATATTATAAGCGCGTAATATTTCTGGAATATTAATAGATGATTATATGCTGACAATATCTTAGCAAAGGCAGATGGTACATGATATTAGTAGAGGCATGTAGTCTAGTTTCCAACATATTAAAATCTTATTCAAATCGAAGAGGAACACTATATTAGCTAACCCGTTTGCAGAGATTCCCTATTAGCTGGAAACAAGTCTAATCTACCCGACATTTTTCATAAACGGTCTTCATCCATCTTTTAAAGGAATATAAAGTCTTTAAAAAATTAATTAGACTAGTTCTTCCCTTTGTGTAGGATTAAGCGCGACGATTGAAATCCGTCAAAATCAAATCGCTGAAACGCGGCTGACGCGCAGCCTAGCGACATCTAGCGGTGTGGAGAAAATTTTCGTGATAAGAGAAGGGAATAATAATATAGTGTAAAAGAGTGCAGGTAAAGCGAGCAAACTTCTAAACGTTTGACGGGAGAGAATCGGTAGAGCGTGTTGCTGCATTTGCGTAAAAACAAATATACGAGCTTCACAGCGCTCGACGATAAGCCATAATCCGTCAATGATCGTCCGTCGCTGCGAATTAATATTATTCGCCGTCGGATGACGATATTTTTGTCAGTGAGCAATTCGGCCTTCGAAGCACCAGGCACGCGGTTTACGGTGCATCTGCGAGCACAACGGTGAACAACAGTTCCGCAGGATTAGCAATTTTGCCTAAGCATAACAAATAATATTATTTAGTGTAACAAAGTGTAAAGGCGCGGATAAACAAGGCCAAAGTAGGAGAGGTGTGAAAATTGTGCTGAGATGTCAGGCAGCACAATGTTGAGTCACAATCCAGCCAGAAAGTGAGCCACGTGTGGGCGTCCTGCGATATTCCTGAATAGAATGTCAGCAGGTATGATGATTCGCATGTCTGTCACACTTGCAACGTGCAATCACACTTGCAATACAAAGCACCGAGTTGTGCGTCCAGTTCTGCTGCTGGTATAACGTACAATCGATCTCAAATGCCAATGATCATGGAAGAGAAGGAGAGCGAGAAGTATCCGTTGCATAGATGCATATTTCAAGGTGATGTAAAGACACTGAGTATTTTGATCAGGACCTACAACATTGGTGAAAAAGATAAACAAGGTTTGCTTCAACGTTGGAATATAATCGTTCTTTGACCGTGCTTTTTTACAATTCTTAATACTTATGTAAACAATATACTGATAACGAGAATTCTTTAAGCATACAAAGCTTTATTTTTCAGTCTCCTTGTGTTTTCTGTTTTAGGGAACACACCTTTGCATTTAGCTGTAATGTTAGGACGAAAAGGTATTTTGATTCAGTCATTAGTATGCATCTGATCTACTCATATTGGATAGTTAAACTATGTATCAGAAACTAACAATTAACAGTGATTGTTCGTTGCGCTGAATTAAAATGTTAAAACTCGAAAGTAACAGAGGTTTAAGGTATACAATGAAAAACTAGAAAATTAAAAGTAAAATTTCATTCTTATAGATCACTTAAAATATTAAAGTTTTTTCCCAGATATTTCCTTTCAACCGATTTTCTATGATATGTTGAAGCTAACTTTTCAGTTGGTGCGAATGAGTTACATTTTGCTTTGTTGTTTCGTAGAATGTGTTCAATTATTGCTTGCGCACGATGCACCTGTAAGAGTGAAGAATCTAGCAGGTTGGAGCCCATTGGCTGAAGCAATCAGTTATGGAGATAGACAAACCAGTTAGTATAAAATGAAACTAATTTATAGATTTAGTATATGTTACTTACTTTTGTAATTTAGATATATAAAATCATTCCATTTCTATCAAATCAATTACTAAAAGTTAATTATTTTGGTAAATTAAACAAGGTTTGCAAGCACACAAATATAAATCTTGATAAACATAAAACATTAATCTTAATTTATAAACTACAAAGAATTAAAAGTGAAAGTGATACAACAGAAATATATATATGATATAGTTTAATACCTAATAATATATAATTATGACCATGAAGATTCTCAAAAGCTAATATTTGTAACTTCTTATAGTATCATCTATAGTACGAAAACTAAAGCAACAAGCTAAAGATCAGATGGAAGACAGAAGGCCAAATCTAGTTACTGCGTTGCATCAAATGGGTGATTTTTATATGGAATTGAAGTGGGATTTTCAGAGTTGGGGTAAGTTTCTTGTATGTTCATTTTTTTCTCTAAAAAGATAGAGTAACCTTTGTTCTTTCACTAAACTTGTTAGTTGGCAAAAATGCAAATTATTTATTCCTACTTTTTCAGATCTGTTTGTTGTTTTCTTAACTGTAGTATTCTTTTTTTGTCTTTTCTTGCCTGCAGGCTAATGATAAGTTTGTCTGTTTCTTTTAGTACCATTAGTCTCGAGAGTGTTACCATCAGACATATGCAGAATACATAAAAGCGGAGCTTCTATTAGGATGGACACGACTCTTGTTGACTTTAATGATATGAGATGGGAAAGAGGCGACATATCTTTCATTTTCAATGGCGACACAAAGCCCAGCCAATCATTGACTATCCTCGACAATAAAGCTAAACTTTTCCAAAGAGTGAGATATGAGGTTAACAATCTTTTTCAATTTACTTGCTTCCTTTGTGACATTCTTTCATGATCAGATATCATGTATGTGTAATACACAGTGAGCTAATATATTTAGACATTTTTTGACATATACTACTGGCACTATTACTACAGGAAAAATGTCAACTGTGTGTGACTAGACATTCACTGCATATATAATTTAACCACCATGAAGAATTAACTAGTTGAATTAACATTCAAGTCTATTAACTCACTCTGTACCCTATATATATATATATAATTTCGATAAAGAGATGAAATTTAGACAATTCATATAAAACATAAGTACACACATATAATTAATTCCTTGTTTATATTAAAACGATCATTTGTATATATTTTAGGAGACAGAACTTGATATAGAGGATGAAGTTGATATTCTTATGTCTAGTGATATTATGGCTGCGCAAATATCTACCAAAGGTATTACATTCTCTAGAGCACAGACAGGGTGGATTTTTAGAGAAGATAAAAGGGTAACTATATTTTACACATAAGTTAAGACTATGATTTGCATCCGACTCTCGTCGGCCTAATATTGTGTATACTCAAATCTGTAAATATTTAAAATTAAGGAAATGGTAGGAGCCTTTAACGCTGATTTTTACCAAATTAATGGCATGGTGTTAGAAAGTAGAAAACGTCGTGAACATTTAAGTGCAGAGGATCTGCAAAAAAATAAAGCTATTATGGAATGCATTACAAAGGGCAGCTCTCAAGGGCTTGCAAATGGCGAGGTGAGATTTCAATTGTGGTATTAAACGTGTTTGGATAGCTCAAATACCGTCTAAGACATGTACGTAATTATTTCAGTTGTTGCTTAAATACACAACTTTAGTAGCTTCTGTTTAAGGGATTCCACTCCCAAATGGAATATGTATGTATAATATATTTATTTGTTTATGCACTAGCCTCCCGCGAGGAGAGCATCGTTGAACCCACCTCCAGAATCGAACATAACGTGGGAGGAGTACGTCGTCGCTCCTCCAGGCAAGTGTCCGCTTCTAGGAAGAAATCTTGTGTACAAAGAGAGTAGTAAATCCTTCAAAGCTACCGTGGCGATGAGCCCGGACTTCCCCCTCACTGTCGAAATGTTACTCAATGTTTTGGAAGTGATCACGCCGTTTAAACATCTAAGCAAGCTACGGCAATTTGTACTCATGAAGTTGCCTCCTGGATTCCCGGTCAAGATCGACATACCGATATTGCCTACAGTCACTGCTAAGATAACTTTTCAAGAGTTCGCCTTTCGCAATGACATAGATCCGGAGCTGTTTAAAGTGCCAGAAGGCTACTGCGAAGATCCAATGAGGTAAATTTACATCTCGATAAAATAGATCGCGTATCTTATTGTTCTATCGGCTTGTGTAAAAGCGTCGTGACAGACTGAAAGGCAACAATCTCACGTGACATTGTGTCCACACGAGTGCCTTAGAAAATTGGGAAAGTAAATTTGTAAGCTAATAGAGGTGTGCTGGTATGGTGCCTTCAAAGGATCTCGTACGTGTTTCTAAAATCCCCTCTAAAAAAAGACTTTCTACACACGCCGATACATGCATATCTACAGAAGTTTAGCGATAAGCGAAATATAGCGTCTATTTAGTCAGAATTAATATGTTGAAACATTCCGCGCATATATTATCTTAATGAGGCACAATAATACGTTTCAGAGGTTACGGTGCGTACATGACTATGATGATGGTTCTTCATACCGCGTCATCCGCTTGAGGATAAACTTCAAGATAAAGACAGAAAAATTATTCTGACACTAGATTCTCTTGCAAATTTTTGTTGTTTACAACCAAGTTTTTTCACCTCGTTAATGAATTATGTTATTTTCATTTGAATTACATATTTAAATTTATCGGTAATAAAGACATTCTTTTCATAATTGGGCACACGTTCAGTTGATGTCTATTCTAATAGCAAGCCGTTTAACAGATGCACACTAATGCATTCTTGTAATGGACTCTTCTAACAATTGCATGTTCTGTATAAACAATTTTCGTCGGCAAAGCTTACTCTTCTCCTAAGCGCGTTGACAATCCATTATATCGTACAATTTCTATATCGAATCGCACTTAAGAACAAGCCAGGTACAACAACAACAAAATTGGCAATAACTCTACATCTCTTATCTTAGATTTCTCTGGTGTAAAATTCATTAATGCAATTTAATATTTTGCGTTATGTACTCGTTTCATATAAATGTTTTCCGTGTCCGTTTTTCAACGTTATCACCACACATGACACTCGTACTAATCATCAGCGATCGCTTTGCAGATTTCCAGACTTATGACGCTTCGACATCCTAACACTAATCGACGTCCAGCCTAGTTGGGATCTATTTCCTTCTGTGCTAGGAGACAATCTGGCTTTCGAGATTTGGGCCAGTCTGGAAAGCATCTACTCAACAAGCCATTGTGTGTTGTTCATCGAGTAAACTAATCTTCGTAATTCAATTACACCTAACAGCGAATAGTGTCGAATATTTACGAAACGTTCGATAGAGAGAGCAAAACTATGAACAGAAAGCAAATCCATGTACTGGAATTACCTAAACTTGCACACACGACATCACTATTTAATATCTAAACTTAATTACACGTTTTTCAGGTAGATTAACGTTTGTATGAAGAGATGTGTATATTATTTATATGTCGTGTTGTACTTCAAAAAATACATGCTGCGTGCGATCAGTGTTGCTAAGGCAATATGTTACATGTCAGCCGGGTGTGAAAGAAAAATATCCAAACTTACGTTTCAACAATACCGATACGCAATTTTATAACTTTTTACAACTTTTAAGTGATGACTAATTGCTCCAGCTTTTACTTTTTACTCCAATTGGTAAGTGTATGTGGAACGTACGCGACGGTACTGTCTCCAGCAACACTGCACTCGATAAGCGATACATAATTTAAGTTTTCAAAACACGGCGATTGCAAATCTTCACTTCTTGCGTGGTGCTTGAAGGTGAAATTAGAAATTTCGCGCACGACAAAATCTTAAGATTCTATATTCGTCATCGCAGCCACGTTGGATTATGACGATATAGAAAGATATAAGTGATTACATGATGTAATTTATTGTTACAGTATACATTGAGGTAAATGAACTTTTGTTACTATTAACGTAGAAACGAATTTACTTCAACGTGTAACGGAGAGAAGGTTTTATATAATTTTCTACTGTGATGTAATTAATACCTAATGTGACTGCGGTGGCGGGCCCTAATGAATAAACAGATTAAATCGGATAGCGAACTTTTTTTGTAGTAGTGCTATATTAGTATTCCGCACTTTTCGCAAAACATTGTCTAACAATTCCAAAATTCAGCGAAGACGCAATGATTCATAATGAACACTTCGCTAATCTCACGAACAATATGTACTTTTCCTACTGAGATTTCAATCAATAGCATAGCATTCAATTGGCCATGTGAAGGAATGTTAGCCTAGGATGTACTCTTCAGTATTACCAATTTACACTTGTGTAGCTCGTAGTTGTTGTAATATTTCTCTTTTAGTACAAACACATGTTCGAACGTGGAACATGGCACCAGCTTTTTATCCTTGCGCGACAGTGCATGAAGTCATTATTGAAATACACGAATGATTCGTACTCATACTGCATTCAATACTAATCGTCGTTCAATTCCGGGCATTGCGATTACACAGAGTACTGAAAAATTACACCTACCAAGTTGCGAGTGAATTCATTTACGACAGATCCGTTCGATTTTAATATTATGTAAGCGAAGAAGAAAGTTCTTTCAAACTCGTTTATGGTAACCTCTTTGACATTTTCGCATGCCTAATATGATTTCAACGTTCGCACGTGTAAGTTTTCAGCACTCTGTGTGTGTGTATGTGTGTGTGCGTGCGTACGTGTGTGTGTAGATGTGTGTATATATTACATCACGTGCAATTAGGAGCTTCTGAGACGCTTTTGTTTGTGGAATGCGCGAAAGTATGAAACCGGGTCAATCTTCCTTGCTGCTGAACAATTTCGGAACAATCGCAATAAAATCTAGCTCGATGACGCTTTCGTGAAAAGTTGTGGTCCTTCAACTGAGTAATAGACGTAGTTGTCCGAGTAAGAAGCAGACAAATTTCCCTCGCCCGTTACTTATCCGCAAAAAAAATGTCCATCATCCTTTGCTCAATTCAAACTGACAACTGATGAAACAATGAATGAAAACTTACTGCATTCTATTGGATTAATAGCATAGTAATGCAATATGATTATTTAATTCGCCATGAAAAATGTCGTAGGACTACTAATTGAAATACTTCAATAATTTATTACTCACTAAAGTGAGATTTTAATGTATTATATAAAATTAACGAGGATTATATCGAGTGTTGGCGGAAGGAGATGTGCAAGTGGATAATTAACGGGAAGTTATTTTGCGTCCTGCCGAACACATGCCTGTGTTATTCATAGGACGGAAGAGAGCACGCGCGAATGTACAATGCAACGCGTGGGAGCGAAGAGGCGTGTGTCGTTTCGCGACACGCAACTCTACCAATCGACACAATGTAACCCGCGAGTAGGGTCATCCCTTGAAGAACTCGCGTCGTCACGTTTAATCCGCGCGATCTTGAACTACTTACGATCAATTTTGCGGCCTTGCCGGCTGACGCAGCCGAAACCGAAGGAATCGTCCGAACGTGCGCGCATTAAAAGTAGAAAAAAATAGTAGAAAACCCGAGTAAAGAAGCATGCGTAAAACGTTAATCGCGTTCAGAGGACGTGGTTTATTGTATTCCTTCTGTTAGTTGCTACTTTGTTACATGCAATAAACGACGGTAACGAGCCAAGTACACACGTGTTCTTATCCAAGTGCGTATCAATACGTCCTTATAAGCGCGTAATATTATTTAATGCTAAGTGATATTTCTGAAATATTAATAGATGGTTATATGTCCACTCCTAATAATATTAAACAAAATAATATTATTTAATGTTACATTATACATTTTTTTTTAATATTCAACTCCATATATATAATTATAGTCCTTTATGTCAAATGTATTGCAATACCAATTGTTTTATTATATAAATAAAGTCGAGATAATAATTTTATGTAAAAATACGTTTTATATTCAAAAAATTACAGATATATACATGTATATACATGATATACATATTTTTCTATATTATTATTACTTTTTTTTTTTAATATTCTAAGAATATTTTTATAATGTGTGGACATGTAACATCAATAGAATATTCCTTATAATATTAAAAAATATCACATAACATTCTTAGAATATTATAAGAATATTGTTTTAACCTTTTGCACTCGAGCGGCGCCAATTTGAAGCGTCAACTCGAGCGGTGCTGCTACGGCGCCCGGAAGGTTTGATGCGTCCAGTCGAAATGCGCTGCTACGGCGCTACGGTGTTTTGTAACTCGATCTGTTTATATATGACGCGCGATAAGATGTTTCTATCTGAAGTACTTTCGTGGACTACACTTGTCGAGCAATTGAGAGGATCATATCGTCAGCAAGCGTCGACGTCGCATACCGATGAAACCCGATTAAATGGGAAGCTTCACATAGTACTAAAAGGACCAAAAAGGTACTGCAAGGTTTGCTCTGACCGTAACACGCCTGGCGGTAGACGGGAAGTAACATATTATTGTGATACGTGTCCAGATAAACCTAGGATGCATCTTGGGCATTGTTTTACGAAATATCACACGAAAACTAATTACAGAGTGTAATATTTGCCAAATTTTGTTGTATTCAATATAAAAATTAATGACTTGGTGAAATTTTATTATTTGTATACGTTTGTTTGAGTATAAATGATTTTAAAGTACCTGTAAAATGCTTCCCTAATTTAGCCGAAATCGTCTCGAGTTGCTGGTTCGCGCGAGCGAAAAAGGCCTCGAATGCAAAGGGTTAATATTTAATAATATTCGTATAATATATTAAGAATATTACGCGCTTATAGAGACGACATAAATGCTGCCCAAACGCGTTGAATGCGATGTGAACGTCATTCTTGAATGAATTAGGAATCGAAATGAAAGATCGTCGCAACGGGAGTAGGATCCGATGGAAATGAGCCGGCATTTGCGAAAGACTCGTGACCGCCTTTTGATCGGGGAATGTTGTTTGCTCGCTCGCGAGAACGTATCTGTATCAATATGAAATTGCGAAATACGTGCAGGCGCTGATAAGGATTACAGGAAGAGAGAGTGCTTGAGTCGTCTTTTAGGCGGTTGCGAAAGTCTCCGTCTGTCTTTTGCATCTACGACGTATACTCGCTTTGCGCAACGCGTGCTGTGGAAGAAGAGCGGTGTGTGTACACGCGCGAAGACACTCCATAGAAATCAAAATCCGAAAAGAACGAGAGGTTCCGTTCTCGATTTTCATGCCGGAGAGGTCTCGGCTGAAGTCGCATCGGAGGACATACGTGTCTTTGAGGAGGAAGAAGAAGGAATGAAACGCGTAACATCGCAGGAACTACCGTCGAAACTGCACACGGAGACTTCGCAGCGCTGAAGGCCGGTTGATTAATGAAGAGAAATCTGACCTGTCGGTAAATATAAAGGAGAGCTAACGATATCACATGGTGATCGCAATGTCGCGATTATGCATGGAAACAGATTATATAAGATCATGCACGTTCAATGCAGGCACGGAAGGGAACAACGTCGCAGGGAGAGGGAATAGAAGAGGAATGTGCGAAATATAGATTTGGCGCGATAATACCTTCTTTCTTTTCTTTTTTTTTTTTAGTTACTAAAGAATTACTTTTGCAAAACACTCTGACAAGCAGGTGGCATATGCGGCATCAGGATCGCCGGATTTCTTGCATAACAATCCCCCAAGAGTGACTGATGTGTGTGTACACTCGAGCAGAAGGAAACGGGACGTGAATTCCACGAACGGACACAGTTTCCACATATATGCGGGTGTGTCCCATCGATTCTTGTCAACGTCCTTGTCATCACGCCTCCTAAGAGCGACCTAAGCTCAAACAACCAAGACCACCTTGAAATACGAGGAGGGGCACTTCGACGTATCGGAGGAGAGGATATATAGAGGTTTGTACGTCGGTACAAGAGCAGATCGTCCTTCCGTGTCTCAGACACAGTGTTTCCCTGAAAGATGCGATCGGCGGCGTCGGCGCTATGAAGATGTATCTCGTTGTGAGTAAATTCAATACCTCCTCGCGTGCATATGAAATTCTCACTAAGAAAAAAGTCGTTTCTCGAATTCGTCCGGAATGCGTTCGATGTGTAACTTGAGATCAATCAAATATGTAAAATATATTTGTGGACATTTTTATTGCTTTCTTGATAATCATACATCCGCACGACACACGTGACATAAATACCAGTAAACACCGAATATCAATTAGCTTCACATCTGTGTTTTAATTTCTCATTCAACAATGTGAATGCAGCGTAACTTGTTTATTATATTGCATTTACATTCTTGAGTGAGAAATTATTACACAGATAAAATGTAATCGATGCTCGGTGTTTACCAGGAAGGGTTTTCATTTAAATTTTTCTCTCTTCGAGCGCGCGCGCGCGAATCGCTAACAGAGTTGCTACGGTGTGATGATCAAAGTGCAAATCGCGAAACGTATTTCTCGAGAACGCATGCGAAAATTGCTAATGCAATTTCAGATGCGTGATAACATTGTACATTATGCAAAATACTTGCTTATAGTGCTTATCGGTAGAAATCGGTAATTTCTATATCCGGGTGTCCGGATATTTATCTGGCACTCGAATCCGCGGATATTACTCGACTATACCTGGGGTACTACTCAATATATAATCGAGCGTACATCCGAGAATTCGAAATCAAAAATCACAGTAACACACCTATCTGCCACGTATCATTGATTCTCGCAGCAGCTGACTTTGTGTTTTGTTTCTCTATGCTTCGCGATGTGGGAAGGAACGAATTGTAATGATGTTACAAGTGTTACCTGTAATGTCACAATTCCCAGTGTGTAAGAAAGACTAAATCAATCTTTTCATACGTTTCATTACAAGACTTATGATTAAACACAGATCGATATAAAGCGAACTGACAAATAAATTGGAAATGTGTGCTTCGGTTTTGAGAGAAAATTCTTTCACAATTGCAGGAGTATTATTATTTGTTAAGTTGCTTCACAAGAGGAAGTAGGAATCGTTACTCTGTCTCTCCGGTTTGTTCTGTCCAAATTTGCTTTACGTAACACCGAGGGTAAATACGATAGAAGGCGCGTTTCTGAATGGATATTCACCAGATCTCGCCCACAGGTATCGACCCTCTGCGCTGTAATTGCGCTGTGCAGCAGTGCCGAATCTCCGAAATCTTCGACGTTACTCACGAAATTAACACCGGTGGACGATGCACAATCCGCGTACGCGAAAGTCGCGAGTACAGTGAAAGATCTGGCCGCATCAGCAAGTGATCGAAGTAAGAAAAACAATAATACGCTATTAAATTTTTATTACCCTTTATGAGCACTAAAAGAGAATAATCCCATGCGACGATACACGATACACGATTAAATGCAAAATAATCCAAGGAGATCACTGACGCATGACGCCGAACTAGTTTTCCTGATATGACAATTTAATGGCTTCTTGCATAACATAGCGTAGAATTACCAAACGAACTTCGTCGCGCTTGTGACACGAATTAATTTGTAACCTTTGAGACGCCCGGAATTGATTATGAAGAATTTATCGTCGGAAAAATCGCTGTCGAAATATTTTTTTCATTCTTACATAATATCGTAGTATTAAGAAAATGTTTCGAGTTCTGTAAATATTTGCTTTTACCTTACGCCTGCGCTCCTATACGCAAACTATTCTCAATGTCAGAAATAACACAATGATAATAGGAAAGGCAAATCTCTTGGGAGCTGAGAACGTGAACTATTACGGAAGTGTATGACAAACACGAGGTGGATTATTCATTTTGAAATCTCGTGAATCACCCGTTGTATCCTCGAGAGGGTCGGAAGACCTTCGCGCGGCTTGCTACATTAGCATCTTATTACACATCAAAGTTGTTTTTTTTTTTACAATGAGAAGTGCTCGAGTCTCGAAGCCAGAGCGTGAGAATGGCAGTGACACACTTAGTTAATACACCAATTACTTCATCGTGTTGGATAAGAATCGATTATTATACCGATTATCGCCCGCAATCCCATTCTGTATTTTGCGCGTGTAAATTTGCATAATTGCGTGTCTATTACCTAACGATAAACACCTCGACGTAATAGCGATACTTTCAATAGTAATGCTTCGATTTGCTTTAACACTGGAACAGCGGCTGAGTCATTTTTGACTGACTTGTAGATTCTTTTCCATTTCTATAGATTTTCATTACTAGATAAGCTTCCTTTGTCATAAAACGATTGAACAATATGACAAAGTTCCAAAGAGTCCACGGATAATTAGAAAAAAGAGAGATGGATCACGCAAAAATGATCCATCCGCGGCTCTGAAGAAAGATCCAATCGCCGCAGTTTTAATGTCCAGGACAATATAATGTTTAAATATATACACAAGACGTAACTATTATATCCGTTATATAATACGATACATAAGACGTCCATCAGACGTCTTACTTGTAAATATCTTTAAGACGTCTTATGTCCCGATTTTAGACGTTGTCTGCGTTTAATGGTAATCTCAGTGGTTCGTCATTCATACTTCGAAATGTTCACGCCTCTTAAGTGAAATAGTATATAATTTATCGCTCACCGTCTAAATTATTAATATAAAATACACTTCTATTAGCGTTTCATGTAACCAAAGATTATGGATCAATTGGATATCCCGGAGGATATTCTGGAGGATATTCTGGAGGATATCCTGGAGGTTACTCTGGAGGATATTTATATGGTCATCCGAGCATCGTTGGAACCGTTTATCCTGGAACATCATACCGTGGCGGTCTAGTACCAGGATATAGAGGCTATTACGGGCCAGGGGGTGGTCTCCTTGGTGGTGGTCATACCGGGTAAGATTCAATATTTGACATGTTCCTTATATATATTATGTATTTTAATTGATCATGTAGAAAAATATGTGAATAAAAAGAAATAGAATATAAGCATAAAAGGCACGATATATAAATGAATTCTTCTGTCGCAGATATGGATATTATGATAATATTGGAGGATATCCCAATTATCTTGGGTATGGCGGCTACGGTGGATACGGAAGCGGCTATGGAGGGTATGGGGGCTATGGAGGATATGGAGGATATGGGGATTACGGAATAAGGGGATATGGTGTTGGAGGTTACGGAGGCTACGGTACTACAGGTTATGGAGGCTACGGTGCTGGAGGTTACGGAGGTTACGGTGCTGGAGGTTATGGAGGCTACGGTCCTGGAGGTATTGGTGGTTACGGTGCTGGAGGTATTGGTGGTTACGAAGATAATTATTTAGGATATGGACGTGGTGGTTATAGTGGGATAGGCGGATATAACGGTTACGGTTACGGAAGTGGATATGGTACAACGTCATCATCTAGGAACCCGTATTATTCAAGTACTGTTCGTACTGATACTAGTTATGGTACTTCTCTCGCTAATCCGTCCGGTTACCGTGGTTATTCCTAACTGTATCATGTTATGTATGTTTTAAAAAATTGAATATTGTTATTAATATGCCTTTATCAGTATGGACAAAATAATAATATCTTTAAGATTTGCTATATTGCTATATAAAGTCTCACAGATATAATACAATAATAAAACAATGATGTAATTTTGTAATAAAAGAGAAATATCCCGAAATAAAAATGTTATTGTTTGATATAATTTTGTTTTTATCTGCTTACACGATGTGTAAGCATTATCTCTTGTTTTCTACTTATTCAAATTATTAATCTTTTATTTAAATTTGGTTAATTCATATTAGAATAATGATTAAAAAATATGTCTCTTAAATGTAATTTATTTAGGAAGATAAATCTTGCACAATATCAACGTATCAATTTTTATTTAATTTATTTAACAGTGATTTTGTATGTGTGTGTGTTTATGTGCGTCTTATTTTCAATTATCAATATAATTAACGTATATATTTGCTTATATTGAACTGTAAACAAGTTCTCTACAATATTTATTTCAAATTATAGAATATACATACATATAAGAATAAAACATATCCAGATAACACAAAATATCCTGAAATTATCTTGCATGTTCTCCGAACGTTCTGAGATATTTTTCAAAATATCTTGAACATGTTTGGGATATTTCTAAGATATTGTGTTATCTGGGTATCATGTACAAATATTAATTACAAAATATAAATTATTATCTATATATCTTA